AATCTTTTCTAGACTTCCAATGTTTCCACTGTCAATGTCCATGGAGGTTTGGGAAGTAGATATTCCAATAAAATTTGCATTACCAGTGCGCCAAATCATTGCTGATTCAGCAGCAATTAGAAAATATGTAAGATTAATAAGGGTGACGTCCGGTATGTCATATAGTAGTCTTTAAAAAACTAAATATACGACTCGAGAAGTGATTGAAGAACCAAGTCAACAACCAACTTCATTGACACAACGACTCCTAACATTCCCAGCCTGTCAATGTGTGACTTCATCTCCAAGACATGTGCACACACAAACCTTCCATCTTGGTGTTGGCTTGCCAATAGGGCTTGAGTGACCTTGAATTTTTCAAGTCTTTGAATGTGTGGGTCAGGGAGAATTATTGGAGGAGGTGGAGGAAGTGAAGTATGATTTCTGGGAACACCATCTTCATGAGGAAAGCTTTTCCATAATATTCGGGAAGACCATAATTGTCTGACCTAGACATGTATAATGGGAGAAATTCAAGTTAGTTGATTTAAGTCCTTAATATAACACCCAAAATGAAATATTAAGGCTAGGACCCAACACAATATTCTACAATTCGGAAGAGGGATGTCGTAATCCAATTGTAAAATATTTGAACGTAGGTAAATGACGATTTACCAATTTTCACCATGAAAAACGAAAAAGAACTTTAGGTTTTAAATGAATTGAAATTCCTAGATTCTTTGAGATTCGTTGAACTTTTCAATGACATGTTTAAATCTCGATTATGCCCTTCAAGTTTGTGATTGGGATGTCGAGGATCACAAACAAGGTGTGAATAACCATGCAAATTAGCTTGGTACACTTAATGTTACAAATCACCTAATCAATGTGACGGTTAACCACACACGCTCCATTGATCCATGATTAGCATCGAGCTACCCATTGTCATCCTTCATTAGTCCCATATTAGTGTGCCGGTTAACCACACACACTCCACTAACAACTAATAAGGTGCAATGTGCAATTTCATGGGTTAGCATCAAATTCACATTTTTCATAAGAACTAAGATTGAGAATTTATAAAAGTATTTAGTTATTTGTTATTTCATTATACTTTTAATGAGAATTAATGTCCTATCCTACCCGTTTGGCTAACGACCCTCCACCAGTCAAGGAAGCGGTAGGTGAGAGTGGACACCCATTAAACCACCATTTTATAGGCAGTAACCTTATACCCCCTTATAGACCGGCTTCGAGAATGAGGCCTACTAACGGTAAGACTGACATTTTACTTATACATATATAATATATTAAACTTTTAATTTTATATAGTATAAGGGTGTATTTTACACATTTAAAATACTTGGTGGTTTAATCTATTAATAAATTATACTCTTAATATAATTAATCTTAAACCATGTTATTATGGATTTGTTAATACTCTTTTAATTAAACACTTTAATCAATTTAATAAAGTCCATAAGGTGTAATTGAACTATTCAAAGCATCTAGGTTATTAAAAAATTCAAAATTAAAACTATTTAATTAATTTTTAAGTTATGAACCTAAGAGTTGCATATTTTGAAACCTTTCAATTACAAGAGTTAATGTTTTCATAATTTGAGACTTTTCAAATACCAAAACTTGAGGGCAAGTTTTGTAACTCTTGAAAACCTTTTCATTTCCATAACTTATGAATTTAATGTCATTTTAATGGATGGCACCTTTCATGTTCCATAACTTGAGGACAAGTTATGGAACTCATTAAAAAACATTTAGATCAATTTCAACAACAAAATTATCATATAATTCATGATTGATCTAACTAAACTCATAAAGCAAGATAATATCAAATCAACAATTTACAAGTAACTTTGTTTATCATATAAAGCAACAATTATCTTAAAACTTTGACAATTATCTTTTGATTGGATTAGTATAATCACTACCTTATCAGAAAAATACGAGTTTTTATGATTACAAAACAATTTGTGGTAATGATCCTAATCCAATTCTGGCCAAAAACTTGAAATTCTGCAACCAGAAGCCTCTACTCAATGAGTGCATGAACTTGACTCGTCGAGTTGCCCTTTTAATGAGTGAACTCGTCGAGTCAGTAAGTGGACTCAGCGAGTTCATCAGTCAGATGCCATAAAATCGATTTTTTCAGCTTTGAAAAATAACCAAGCATCAAATATAACAGAAAACAATCTTAGACTCTAATACCACTGTTGAGTTTTAAGCATTATAACACTCCTATGGTGCACATACAACCCTAGATGCTTTGGATCTATGTTTTTTCTAATTATACATGCAATTTCAATTTTCCAATACATCCTAACTAGCATACAATAGAGGATATACAATATAAAACTCATAGTGAGATGAATACCTCTTGATGTAGTTGTAGTTCTTGGCCTTCGAAAGCTTTAGCACCTCAAGTGTGATGCCTCTAATGTGTCACAAACACCAAATGCAAGAGGAGACTTGAGAGAATAGGCTAGTTAGCTCAAAATTTATTATCACTCTCTTAGAATGAATGGGCAGCCGATTTTGGCTCTAGGGGATTGCTTTTATAGTGTTACAAAGGCTAGGGTTTCATCCATGCAAACCCTAATGCACCATGACCCTTCATATTACTTAGGCTCCATGGGTTAAACCTCCATGGACTATCATATTGGTTTAGCACATCCTAATTAACCATGGATCATTGGCCCACATTATAAGAATCATTGATTTACTTAATCAGTCCCCGTATATTTAATCAGTCTCTTTTAATCACTAAATTATTTCCAAATTAATTATTGATCAATACTAATTAAATAATATGATTTATCAATTAATATATTATACTTATAATATATTAATAAATCACAAATAACCTTATTCTCAAAAGTCCATCCTATCAAATTGCACTGATGAAGGCAACCCAAAAGGACCATACTACTATCGGGTCAAGTACATCCCATTTATATATATATATATATATATATATATATATATATATATATATATATATATATATATATATGTGTGTGTGTGTGTGTGTGTGTGCTTTTGAATCATGCGTTTGTATGTGTAAGGCATTATCTTTGGTTTAGTTTCTCTGTAATTTCCTGGTTAATATTATCAAGGGTCGTTATATGCCATTTTGCATGCCGAGAGTTATGAGTGGGGGCACATCTTGTTGAGCTGAATTTAGATTGTCAGGTAGTTGTTGTGGGCCATTGGGGAAGGTGATTTAGGGGTACTGCTTGGAAGATTAGTAGTCGGATTAGCTTGATTAGTCCAACCACGAAGTAAGAGTTCCAAAATGTTTGCGTCGCTCAGTAGGGATGAGAGTTGTTTATGGAAGGGCTCTTGGGTCCGATCGCTACCGTTACTAGGAAAGAGCGGTAGCAAGTGGATGATGATGGCGATCACATGTTTTTTTTTCAGACATTAGAACTGTCAAGAGATTTTGAAATTGTATCAGTTGAATATGGTTAGAATGTGTGATTCTTCGGTAAGTGGGATGTTGGGTTGGTGATTTCGTCAGTTCCAACAAGGGGATTCATTATTTGTTGTCTTAGTAAGGTTGGCAGGGTGTAGTTATATCCAAGTGGGGGAGAACCATTCGGATTTTCCAGGATTGAATCAGGTACAAAACCATGGAAAGTTCCACATTCTAGTTAAGAAGGAAGCCAGTTCAAGTGGCAGTCTGGATAGATGTTGCGCAAGGTTGGGGGTTCGAAAACTTCCAGCGATAAGTTGGCGCATTCGTTGTAATGCATAGCAGATATGAGGTTGGATCCATGTTGAAGATTGTGTTAGAGCTTCCCTGTCTGTTCTTGTCTGACTAAGACTTAGGGATTCGAAGCATGACCCGAACACCTGATTGGGATGCAGTCAATGTGGTTTTGACCGGTGTTTGATCGTAGCTTAGCATGGCAAGTGGAGAACAAGACCATGAGACGGGCTCATGACTGAAGGGGAGTGTTGTAAGACTGATGGGTAGTTGTAGCATACACAAGGACGATAGGCTATCGGGGAAGTGTTGTAAGTCTACGATGTAGTCGTAACATTCACCAGAATGAGGTAGGCCATACCAGGAGTGGTTGTTGGGCTGAAAGAGGATCAACGCATGTCTGGGTTGAGGCAGACACATATTTATGGGTAAGTGATGATTTGACCATTTTCTCTTTATAACACGTATTTTGCAGTTCATTGTTGACATGAACGCATAGTCATTGAATAAGCTAATGAGATAAATATAATAGGTTATATAATGTTGCGTATACCGTAAAACTTTATATCTTGATGCATTTTATATTTTTTGGAATATGAAATGCATTTAACAAATACTACAATAATAACATAAACTAGAAACAACTTCATCATTTCAAATTGTCTATCTATTTTTATGTAATTCAGCATATCAACTTCATTAGCTTATTTCTCGTCTTTTTTTTTTCCGATAATACACATTTAACTGGTTTTATTACTGACCTAACACTTAGTCATTATATGAATATCTTTGACTAATTGAATGATATATGATGTAGGAAAAAAAAATCAAAAGTTAATTCCGTTTTGAGTCACTTTCTCTTTGGTATATAAACACCAACTTATTGAAATTTGGCAAACAAAAATTGATTCTGGATATGGCATATGGATCCTCCCTAAAAAATAGGACCAAAAACATGGAATTAAAAATCACTCTCTCTCACGGTGCTTCATCGCCTTCATTCATTCGTTTGGTTTTGTGGGTGATAACTATTTAATCGCCATGGTCTCCTTCATTCCTTCTGCAGGTGAAGACGAATTCCTTTCGCCTTTCTCTGCATCTGTCTCTGAATTCCCCTCTCTCTTGGGGAATCCAAGAGAAAACAAACCCCAATTCCTTCTCCTTTTCTTGAATTTTGAGATCGATCAGAGACAGAAATCATTTCAAAAATCACATACCCACCCACCTCGCCATTGGACTCCAGAGGAACCTTCATCGCCTTCCTTCAACCCCAGGTTAACTCCACAATCTCATCATGATTCGGACGTCTCGCCGGAGTTTTTCCTCCAACAGAACGATCTTCCTTTCGGCTCTCGTTTTGGTTACATTAACAGCCTCGATTTTGAGCTTCATTGATTCCGGCGAACGCTTTCTCTACAACTCCATCTCCTGGGAGACAAAAATTCGTTCCTCTGCTCACATCCGTCGTCCTAACGGAATATCCGTACTTGTCACCGGAGCAGCCGGTTTCATCGGCACACACGTATCCCTTGCTTTGAAATCCCGTGGCGACGGCGTCCTTGGCCTTGACAACTTCGATAATTACTACGCCCCATCGTTGAAGAAAACCCGGCGGGCGTTGCTAGACATTCACGGCGTGTTCATCGTCGACGGCGATATCAACGACCGCCGCCTCTTAGCCGTCCTCTTTGACACCATAGCTTTTACCCACGTCATGCACCTTGCTGCTCAGGTCGGCGTTCAATACGCCGTCGAGAATCCATACGCTTATGTTCACAGCAACGTCGCCAGTCTTGTCACGCTTCTGGAACGATGCAAGTCCGCCGATCCTCAGCCCGCCATTGTTTGGGCAAGCTCCGGTTCAGTTTATGGTGTAAACATAAACAATAAAGTACCCTTTTCAGAATCGGACCGGGTCGATCGACCCGTTTCAATTTATGCATCTACCAAAAGAACCGGAGAAGAAATCACCCTAACATACAACCGGGTTTATGGGTTGTCAATAACCGGGTTAAGATTTTTCACTGTTTATGGCCCATGGGGAAGGCCCGATATGGCTTATTTTTCGTTTATTCGAAATATTTTACTGGGTAAACCGATAACAGTATATCGGGCCAAGAACCATACTGACTTGGCCCGAGACTTTATTTACATTGATGATGTGGTGAAAGGATGTGTTGCGTCATTGGATACCTCGGGTAGGTCGGTCGGGTCGGGTAGGTCGAAAAACAGAACTGCTCCTTATCGGATTTTTAATTTGGGCAATGCGTCTCCGGTGACTGTACCTACTTTAGTGAGTATACTTGAGGAAAATTTAAGGATGAAGGCAACGACAAATGTGGTGGAAATGTCTGAAAATGGCGATGATTTATTTGCGCAAGCGAATATTAGTTTAGCTGAGAAGGAACTCGGGTATAAACCGACAACTGATTTGGAAACCGGGTTGAAGGAGTTTGTGAAATGGTATTTGTGGTATTATGGCAAACCGTTCGTCCAAAACCGCAACGTTTGATTTAATATGTAAATTAGAAATAGACGATGTTTTGAGAGATTTAAGTTACAATCATTTGGTGTTTTAATTTCGATTTGTTTGTATATATTGTATTAGAAACAAAGGGAACTAATGTTTGTAACTTTTCAAATATAATCTTTTAAATTGTTGCAATTTTCACATGATGATAAGGATTATTCGGTTTTAAAGGGTGTTTGCTTCTAACTCTTTTGTACGTGATTATAACTAATTTGAAAAATACTATACGTGGAAACCATATTAACAATTTAACATCTTACTATTGTTTTCACCTTGTAGATCGGAACCTCATTTTCTTTTTTTCACAACCAACGATGTTTATACCTATTTACCCTTTTATTTATATCAATTAAACATAAAACCATTAAATATGCCACGAACGATATATTATTGATTTGAATAATTGTATATACAGATTGGTTTATTTGTAAGATCAAATAGGCTACCAGACTTGCATCAGAATCACCTAATAAATGGAATATGTACGATTGAAAAAGGCCTTAATTACGAAACCAGCACGAGTTGCCCTAAAATCTCAAATAACAGTAAACCTATGATCATGCATGGCGTTCCCACATCGTCGTGATGAATAACAGCATATGTGAAGCAATAAGCAAGATTGTCACTACCACAAGAAAGACTCCAAGCCTATACCATTTTTGACGTAGAGTACTTATAAAACCTTTTCTGCATGCATAACAATCGTAGCACAGCTTTGTAGCATCGTTTTGCCATAAATCACAATCGATATCATATTCACCATTTGAGACTTCATAAACTATGGGTTTCTTTTCCCAACATGTCGCATTAACATACTTCATGTCACAAATCGATGGTGGTATGCAACACCCCAACTGAAAACAAACCAATACAAAAAACATGTATTATTCAAAGGGAAAATAACACAAATGCCCTACGAACTTTCTAGGGTTTACCCGTTGAGTCCTTAAAGTTTTTGTTGGACTTTATGGGTCCCTAAACTAGAATATGATCTGCTCTTTTAGTCCCTCACAACCTCTAATAGCCGGTTCAGTAATCTTTTAGACAAAAAAAAAATATGCCCCTATATAGCCAAAAAATAAATTCGATAATCAATACAAATTGAGTGTGAATCGGCTTTAGAATAAAATGATTTTTTTTTGTACGAATTGATCCACAAACTTATTTTTTGGATTTATAGTGGCACAATATGAGCTTTTTTGGTCTAAAATGTCACTGAACCGGCTATTATATGTTGGACTAAAAGAGCAAGTCATATCCTAGTTTAGGACCCATAAAACCCGACAAAAACTTTAGGGCTCAATGGGTAAACCCTAGAATAAAGTTCGTATGGTATTTGTGTCATTTTCCGATATTCAAATTAGTTTGTGTGTATTTATTAGTACATGAAAGAAATATATAATACCTCTATTGGAGAGAGTTTATTCGTGGAGAAATCATATGACCATTGAAAGGCCAAATCTTGACATGTTCTTGTATTGTATATACAAGATTCAATAGCGTTCCAATTACTATCATTATTCACCATCATACTAAACCACACTGGTGAACCTGGTATCAACCTGCCATCTATCGTGTATGCTCCGATGAGTGCTAATCCTATTGTGAGAATCACAAGAAGGGGCACCATGACTAGGATCAATCCCAACATAAGGAATCGTGATCTCAAGAACACAAGTACGCCGTTGCTGATCACAAACAAGACAATTAATCCAAACACAATCCCGACATGTAACTTTGCTAATGGTAATAGGTGTTCGCAATTGCCCTCTCGTATGTATAAAAGCCATACGACACAAAAGAGGATAGGGAAAGAAAGAAGGAATGAGAGTATGGTAAACGGTAACATGATACGTTTTATAGGGCTTGCCTTAGCTTCTGCCATTGTTGGATCTTGATGATTGTTGGCGACAGGAGTTTTCGGTGTTGTTGTCGGTCTTGCATCTTCAGCCATTTTAGATAAAAATGATCACGATGTTGACTGTTGAGCGAAGTGATTACTAGCTTGTAAATAGTAGCAACAGATTGAATAAATATTTATAGCCAACAATTAGTTCAAGAACTGATTTGGTAAAAGATTCTACTTTGTTAGTAAATATCATGAAAAGTCAAACGATACTATATTTCACGTTTGCTATAATATCTCTAACAAGATATTGTTGAGGATAAGTAGTTAAATTTACTATATAACTTTCGTTATATATATAACTCTTTTGGAGAATATATACAATTATACATACATGCATACATAACATATAAATATACATACACACATACCTTATAGTTCATATTATCATATAGTATCATATATGAACATTGTTCATATCAACTTATCAAGATTTAATTAAAAGCTATAACAAAACGTTCAACAAAATGAGCGTAAAATTTTCAAAGAAAAAGAGAACAACTATTAATTTTTAAAAAAATAAAACAATATTGAAATCGACAATGTTCATATATGAATATATAATGTTTAGATATAAGCATTGAAATCAAAATCTTAAGAACAATTGGTTCGCTTTGGTTTTAGCTAAGGTGTTAGATTTTACTCATTTAACCTGTTGGACGACCTAAATCTATTTATTTTAGCAAATGTGTTGAAATTGTTAATTCAACTTGATGTTGCTAGAATGTGTTGGTGATTGATTGTTGTTTTGAATATATGAAGCATTAGAGGTTTTGGGCGACCTGACAAAATAGTCAAAGTATAGAAACCGTATATTATTCATATATTACTCCTTGATATTCTCTTCGTACATTCCTTTTACTCTCCTGATTATTAGGAGTAATTTATGTATACCTGTACATATTTAAAGGTTGTATTTCTTTGTAAAGATGCATCAAATAATTTTCGTCTCTGACTTCCAAAAGTTTTATGGTATCAGAGCAGGCCAAGAACAAAACCTAAACACACAATATCCTTCCTCCTTTCTTGTCATTTTCACAATGGGTGATAAAACCAACGATCAACATATCCATGCTCAACCCGACACCACCCTTAACCATAACTCGCCGTACTACATCCATGGCTCAGATTATCCCCGACAAATGCATGTGAGCGAAACCCTAACTGATAGCAACTATCTAGATTGGTCTCAAGAGATGATTAATTTCTTGTTTGCTAAGAACAAAACCGGTTTCATTGATGGAACCATCAAGAAACCAGACACATCCGCTGCAGAATAGATGAACTGGATGAGGTGCGACGCCATGATCAAGGGTTGGTTTAACACAGCTATGGAAAAGGAGATAAGAAACAGTGTGAAATATGTTGGTACAGCAGAAGAAATTTGGAAGGATCTGAAGGAAAGATTTGGAAAACAAAGTGCCCCGAGAGCATATGAAATAAAGCAGATTCTTACCACGACACCACAAGACGGGGTCTCCGTTTCGACATACTATACAAAGCTTCGGGTTCTGTGGGACGAATTGCAGTCTGTCTTACCCACACCAAGATGCTCTTGCAGTGGCTGTTCTTGTGGAGTGGGAAGGGAGATGATGAATTTAAAAGACAAAGAAAAGCTTTATGATTTTCTGCTCGGATTGGATGCTGATTTCTCCACAATCAGAACACAAATCCTAGCTATGAACCCTACACCAACACTAAGCACGGCTTACCATTTAGTATCAGAAGATGAGCAACAGAGAAACGTGGCGATCGGGAAGAGGCCTTCTGTTGATGTGACTGCCTTTCAAGCTTTTACCTCATCAAAACAACAATCTAACAAATCCAATCAAAAGGAGGCTAAGAGAAATCTTGGAGAAGTAGAACATTGTACCTTTTGTGGCAAAGATGGCCATAGCCGGGATGGATGCTTTAAACGTATTGGGTATCCATACTGGTGGCCGGGAAAAGGGACTAAGAGAGAAAGGCAGAGACCTAGAGCAGCCTGCATAGAAGCTGAGAACACTACCATTCCTATGCTAACCGAAGAGCAATACAAACAATTTCTCAACTTATTTTCAGGTGGCGAAAAAGGAACAAAACTTGATGCACCTGTGGCTAACATGGTTTCTGCCAACACCACTGCACATACAACAGGTAACACACATAGAAACTGTAAGTGGATCACAGACTCAGGTGCCACGGATCATATCACGCATAAAGCCTCTATCCTTCAAAATCGAACTAAAAGTGTCTATGAACCACCAGTTATCATTCCAAATGGATAAAAGATAACTGTGGAAGGTAGGGGAGAACACACCTTGGAGAGTGGAATGAAAATAAAGGGAATTCTGCACGTGCCAAAGTTCAACTGTAACTTGTTACTGTTAGCAAAATATGCAATGATCTTCAATGTGCAGTAACCTTTTTTCCAAACTTCTTTGTTATGCAGGGCTGAACCTCGAGGACATTGATTGGAGCGGGTGAGTGCAGAGATGGTCTATACCAAATGGGGATGGTTGAAAATAAAAGACAAGCCATTATGACAACAGTTGACATTTTGCATAAACACTTAGGTCATGCCTCAAGTCCAAAACTTTCACATATTGATTTTCTTAGGAATGTCTCATTTAAAAATAAGGATTGGTTTTGTAATTCGTGTTCCAAAGCCATGGTTGTTTTGAATTATTACATTGTGATATTTGGGGTCCATATCGTACTCTTTCAATTTCACGTGCTAAATACTTTCTCACCATAGTAGATGATTTTAGCAGGGCAATTTGGGTTTTCTTGATTAAACATAAAAGTGATGCTAGTGGGTGCTTGATAGACTTTCACAAATTTGTGAAAACTCAATTTGAAAAGGACATTAAGAGAGTTAGATGTGACAACGGTGGAGAATTCACATCAAACCGAATGCTTGATTTCTATGCCGACCAAGGAATTGCTCTAGAAACGACTTGTCCACATACCCCTCAACAAAATGGGGTTGTGGAACGGAAACATATGCATCTTCTTGAAACGGCACGAGCATTAAGGTTTGAGGCCAACTTACTAACGAAATTTTGGGGCGAATGTATATTAACTGCAACACATT